CTGCCAGCACTATTTCTTTCATCGCGATGCTTTACCATGGTGGCACAGGTCCCGCACCTGAGCGTTGGGGTGATGTGATGTCTAAAGCTTTACGTCATTAACCAACGTGACGTCATTGACACGTCGCCACGTCACCTCGTCGGGTATGGGTAAGGTCTAAACGCGTGTTCCGCGCCAAATGAAGCTGTACGTTAACCGGGGGATAACAGAAGTATTCTCTTTTCAGGATTCGTCCAGTTCACCATGCTTTTGTACTGCTCCCATGATACTGCCACCTATCGAAGGATTGGCATCGGTAGAATTGATAGGCCCTGGCGTTGAAGAAGTGCACTTCGATTTGCTGAATGAGGACCGAAAGCGTGATTTAGTGGAGATTCTCACCACTGGTCATGGACGTGTACCGGTTACTGTGACAGAAAGGTAAGATAGAGCGATTGAGGCGTTGTGGAAAACTGGAACTAATTTTCCGCTCTAAGGCGGGAGTTATGGCTGGTAGAGTAGGCTCACAATCAGTGGACATGGCACTTTGGCATTCAAAATGAGTAGATTAGCTCTTGTATAGTCTGCGTGACTCTATTAGCTGGCCCATACCAGTCTTAAAGCAATTTTTTTTCTTGCCTCGCCCTTATTCTCTTTTTCTGGCCCTTGTCCGTCTCGTTTCATGAAGACAGTACCCTCTTGGAGTTGCGAAATTGTACGAGCTTGTTTTCTCCGCCATTTCATTTTTTTGCTAGACGACCTCTAGTGCACGACCGTATGAGAATACGAACCTGACCCTAGCTCCGATATGGGTAGACCAATATCTTGAGAAAATTGGTTGGTGAGCCTGGAGACCGTATAACGTATAGTGTTATAGTTATACAGCCTTCTCCCCTTTCCCCCCCTAAGAGAGCCGGACTGCGCGCAGCAGTGGTAATGTTTGATCCGATAGCCCCAAGCTGAAGTCGCGTGCATTCGCTTCGAATGCGTTGGCGTTGCGTACGCTATTGGTTAAAATTCACTTGCATGCAGTGAATTGTTTTAAAGATGCCTTCCACGATGTCGAATGGGCGGAGACAGTGGACCATAGTGTCTTTGTCTCACTGGTGCGCCTTTCCTTGCTAGGTGGGAGAGAGAATAGACGCGCAAGTGAGGTGGTTTATTGTCCCATCCGTACGATCGACGTGAGATGTGCACGCTCCCACCCAAAAGCTTTTCCGTGCCGCTTGAGCTGTGGAGGTCAGACCTACTATTTTTGCAGCTGTCTAGACGATAACGAGCTGGCTCAGCAGGAAGACTGGACGTTGAGACAGATATTCGACCATCGCGTAGAACGACCGTGCTGTAAAGTGACGAAGGTGGCGAAGGAGTTAGAAAGAATGAAAATAGTAAGTAAATGTTAAAGTGAAAGAACATAGGTTTATTCAAGATGAGAAATAACTGATGGGGATGTATTGATGTGTTTCGCTGGATTTGTTGACATTGTTCCCTTACTTTTTATTTCCCTTGGAGAGTTTTGAAGTCACGCTTTCACTGTTCAGACGAACCATCCCGGCGGTCCTGGTGATCTGCGATGGCGTTCGATTGACAGCGCTCCCGCGATCCGTCAGTACCTGAAGACTCTGCATATGGTATGTCGCTTTCATTCAAATTCCTGAATAATCGACTGCAGGACATTTCGTATTGTTGAGAAGCGTGCTTCAAAATCTGACCCCCTCCCCTGAAACTCCGTCGGGCAGAGTGGAGAGGTTTATTTGATCGACTGTCAGAAATAGTAAATTCGCAGTACACCCGACTAGTGGAAGGGGGGGGGG